TGAAAAACGAAAGGTAACAAATACTAAATAGAGGATTGTAAAGCACAAAGAAAAATAATCAAACTCAAATTGGGTGAAAATTCATTGGAATATTGGATGGAAGTAATAGTAAAATACAGGTTAGAGATGTAGGTAACGGGAATTTTTACGCAAAATCAATTCTTGATTCATGATTTCAAGTACATGATATTTTCGTTGAAATGTTGAATGTTTATATTAGCATTTTCTATACCATAATATTTTTAAAATATTTTTACTTGTATTATGAGCTGCTTACGAATTATTTTTTAGTTTCTATAAATGTCGATAAAATTGTATTCGTTTGGCCAAAAAGCTTGAAAATTTAATATAAGGCTCCTAATATATTTATTCTAATGACGTTGAAAAGTATTAAATATACAGTCACAATTTTTTTTTTATAAGCATTTAAAGTTCTATTTTTGACAAATTTTATCAAATTGAAAATTGAAAAATGATTTTTTTAGTCATTTAAAGCTCAAATTTGGACAAAATTACATATTAAATAACTAAGAATAACGATTTTAGTTTTTTTTTGTAATTTTGTAATATTAATTCAACTTACAGGCTATACCTACCTTCCGTATTAATAATAAGGAGGGCAGAAGACTTGTAGCTCTAAAAAAGCTCTAAATAATCAAGCACTTATGCACTAAAAAACCCCATAATATGCAATTGAAATATGCACTTTAATTATTTTTTAGCCTTTTTATTTAAATAATAAATACATAATACATTAACATTAACAAATACTAAAATATTGATTCTTGTCGTGTCTAGAAACGTTTTATAAATAAATCCTAATCGAATAAAAGCCCGCATGGTGTACACACGTATCTGTGGTGGTGATGTCGTAGGTATAGTGTACGTTAAAATCGTTATCGCTTCTAAGAAAAATGTGTACCCGAGCACAGTCAAAAACCATATTAAGCAACAAAAATTAAAAATAAATACATTTTTATCCAAACATTTTGATTGTATTGTTTGAAATAAAAATGTCACTGTGGAAAAAACCGATTCAAGTAAAATATGTCTCAAAAAATATAAAATAGCGTATAAAAGTGTAAAATATGCCCTACAAACCAAAAAAATGTAAAATATATGCATTTATATGATTATATGCACAATAAAATTCCAAAACTAGCTTTGTGGAAGCATGAAACATTGAAACGTATTTGTTTCGCACTCTGCTATTTTTGTGACTGTGTAAAAAAAATATACAAATGCTACAAGTCTGCCCTAATAATAAGTAATAACAATATAAATATAATATAAAATATCCTAGACTGATAATTGATAAACCATCTCTGTTCAGAGTCGTTTTTCGTATACAATGATATTATATCATTGAATTCAAATTTAATACCATTCATTACAGTGACCCGCTTGTAACCTACACTCCTACAGTACAGCAGAACGACACCCACTTGGCACTTGCCCACCTTTCTTAAAATTAAATACGCCAGTGGCGTCATTTCAGTTTTCAATAGAGGGGGGCAAAGGTTTTGACCGGCCCGAATAGGTAAAAAAAAAACCGCTCGCTTCGCTCGTTATACTATCTACATTTCCTTATGCAACCCTTTTTATTAACTAGGTAATATCATTTATAAATAGAAGGTGGCAGATATTTTATAAAAAACAATTGTACACCTACATCAATTAAAACTTAAAAGTCTACAAACATAATATAGCAATATTTTATTGATAAACAAAAATATTAGTAGCTTATTAAAGGATATCTTCTTTTTTTTTTATTTTATGAAAATATATCAACTGCATCATCTATAAATCAATTTTACCTGATTCATCACTTATCACCCTATACTCTATATGTATACGATATATTTTCAAATTAATATTATTTTAAATTATATTTATTTTTTTTATTGCTTGCTTAGTGCTTACTGGTTTAAGTTTCATATTTTTATTAAACATACCAGAAATTGTTTTCGATTCTTGAGCGGTTTGCGGTAATTTTATATTTTTAACCGCACCACCCATTTACTTTTTTTTAAGTCATATTTTGTTCAAATTGAAAGATTAATGTAAACACGAGTCACGAAAAAATTAATTTTAATTTAGGTAGAATAAGGTACACTACAGGGCCAGATTGGCCAGGTTACCGATGTAAAACTCAGCGGGCCGCGACAATTTTGGGCCGTTCAAGTCATGAGGGGCCGTATTGACTAAAAATATGTTAAGAGTTAAAAGTTGAAGAAATGGAGACTATAAAATAAAATAACTATGCACTGAATAAGAGCGTACCCAAGAGCCGCCAGTTTTTAAGTGGGTTGGTAAAGTACTGAAAACTCGGTGGGCCGAATTTGTCCAACCCGGCCGCATATTAACATTCTATACATTGTTTCACAACCGGGGTATCCTGATTGGCCGAATTTAAATTGCCCGCTATTTTTCCAAACAATTAAAATAATAATAATAATAATAATCAAAAAAATTATATATGATAATTTGTTATCATTATATTGCGCGCCAAAAATGGATTTTTATATTTGGATCTTTATAATTAGCATATAGGTATACTACATAAGGAGTAATAGTGTCTTGTATTTTGACTACAAATCGTGCATAGGTATTGATGTTTGTAGTAGGTATTTGTTATTATCTTTCTATAAAATATAAATTATCAATAAGTATTGTCGGTTCTTTATATTATACCTTTTTTTAATTTACATTTTTAAAATATGTATCCTCAATCATTTACTAATAAAGTAAAAGAGGAGAAAGTAAATTATGTAGAAGTTCGAAGTAATTTAAATTCAGTTGATGATATTAAGCAGTGGGTGAATGAGTATGGAACTTTAACAAATACTCATTGGGTAGCAAGAAGCTCTATTCCAACAGGGACTAAAATTTTGTGTTCGTAAGTCAATAGAAACAATTATTAAGAAAAATATTTTATAAATTGTATTAGGTACGTGTAGGTAGTATTAGTAATAGTAATGCATGATACCAATTATAGTTATATAAGTAACACTGTCCAAGATTGTATAATGTACCTTTTATGTCCTATAAAATATAAATTAGAAACAGAATTCAAATTAGAATTATATACATGTTTATGGCATTTATCCAGTCACAATGGTTATTGCTCAATGACTATATATTCTTATACAACACAAATTGTCTCAAACATGCTCATAAAACACTGAATATCTTCTGTACATAATATACTAAATACTCAACCAATATCAGTCAATTTATCAACATTTGTATATAAATTAGTAATCAACATCAATTTTATATGAAATTAGATTTTTATGTAGGTAACTAATTAGAACGCACAATATTATAATATCTCAATGATACAATAAAATTGAAACATTGTTATTTTATTGTTTTGTTACTTGTTAACTATAACAGGATGCAGGACATGAGCAAACCTATTTAGGTATTACCTTTTATTACACATTACTACCTATACAACCTAATACACATTTATATTGGTTTCTTGTGTAATATGCATATCAGAACATTTTAAAAATACATTATTTATTACTATTACTGTTACACTATAGTTAAATATTTTCAAATTCATTCCATTTTATTATTTTAACTATAAGTTACACAACATAATGAAGTATAGGTATTAAAATAAGTAGACAAGTAGTCAATGGTATATTATACAATAGTTGCACAACATAATATATTAACTTATTCAAATTTCTGTATACTATATTATTTTCCTATATGCATTTTTTACTTTGAAAAATAATAATAAATTATAATTTAAATAATATTTATCATAGAAAAAAGTATGTATGTCACCATAGTGGTTTCCAAAAGGTTTCTAAAGAAGAAAATAAGAAGGGAAACTCAAAAAATGCTATGTGTCAAGCGTATATATTATGTAGCATTAAACTTAGTACGCCATGGACAAAAAAAACAGATAGTTATGTTAAGGTAAGACTTTGTTTAGAGTTAAATTAATAACAGCATTATTTTTGTCTAGCGGGTTGTACACCAGTCTGTACAGAGTACAGACCTTTGGGAAAAGTGGGCCAGTAGTGTTTTAGGATACTTTTAGGGAGAGTTAAAAAATGTGTTAAGTAATATTTTTTTAGTCTTTGGCATATTGAACACATTTCCCATAAAGTAGGTAACAATTAAATATATACTTTAGGTATTAAATATCACACCAAATACTTCTATTAAATATTTATATTAAAGCTGTAACGCCTGTAACTATTAAATTATAACCATATTTTGTGCAACAACATTAATAAAATTGAATTTTATTAAATATGCATCCTCCTCTATCATTCACTAATAAAGTAAAAGAGGAAAATAAATTTAACCCTATAGGCTATAAGCCCATATTGTAATTCAATTTATGTTACTGTCTAGTTATACACTTAAACATTAAATGTGTATTATAATTTGTAAACCATGTTTTAGCATTATTTTATTATTTACCTCTTTTAAGTACAAGGGGTTATATGAGATGTAAAACAAATTAGGAATAGCACAACTTTATATTATTTTTAGAGTTCTTCTACTATTTTATCCCAATTCAACCATAGAAGTGTAACTTAATTATGAATAATCAATATAGTTTCATATTTCACGTTAAGATCTAAAACAATGTAGAATATATAATATTTTATGTATATAATATTGTACCAAGGTACCTAAATTAATATGTTTGTGTATTATAATTGGTTGCCTATATGACTAATTGTTGATATCTATTGTAGGTACATATAAATTTCCTAAAGTAAAGTTCAAAGTTTAAAGTACATTGGTAAATAATTTTGATTGAGTAAAATTAGTAACTTTTCATAATAAAAATTAGATTAAATTTATTATATCAAAAAAATTTCCTCCGCTATTTCCTATTACATATTATAAGTGGACATATTCTAAAGTTAACTTTTTTATAAGGTACTAACTGTTAGTTAATTTACTGAATTATTTAATTTTTTTTTTAAAGTGCCAGTTATACAGATAATGTTTGTCTTATATTAATGTCCACGCCCATGTGACTTTGCATTTGGAAAATTATTTTTGATATTGTGTCCTAGATTTCTCTTTCTTTTATTTATTATTTTTTCTTGTTTTGCTGGACGTCCAGCTGGAAAACGTTTACTACCTCTTGTTAATGCTAATGGACGCCTAGCAATTGATGTGGGTTGAACTTTAATTGTAGCTCCAGACCTTCTACGAAGTGGTACTGATGACGCTCCTGCAGTGTGTAAAAATGATTCCCACATTCCTACTGATGTAATTTTTTTTAAACGGCTCTCAATCATTTTTAGACCTGATTTAGAAGAACAATATTTCTCATCTAAATCTGTCATTAATGAAATTATGTTTTTCATTGATACATTTTCACTTGCTGTTGTTTGTAAACTTTGTGATGCATTATCATTATTAATTATGACAGGTAATGTTTCTTCTTCTTCCACAGTATTAGATTGAACATCAATAGTCGATTCTATATAATTATTAGTACTAGTATATTGCTTACAAGAATCATTGGGTAAAAAGGATTCAAAGAAAGACATTGGCAGAGATTTATCGCCTTGAGCAAGAACTGAAATATTATATTTATCTTCTGCTGTGACTGGAGGGAAATTTTTTGATACAACATCATAATATGAGTAAACAGCACATTGGTGAATACAAAATGATCCAAATTGTCCTTCAAAACATGAGCAAATTCCTACACTTGTATTTATTTCATAAGTTTTATCATCAGAAGTTGTAACTTTATATTCAATTTCTGAAATTTGCATTACATCATCTTGTTTAATTGTATTGGCTTTTTTAGATTGTGTCTGAAGAAAAAGTCTAGCCTTACAATTTCTTGAGTTTGCAAATTCTCTAAATCTGCGACAGTAATAATCTTCCAAAACTGTACAAGCAAAATCAATTAATGATATAACATTATATGCCTTCACTCTTGATAGAACTATATCCTTGAAAATCCTAACAGTTATTTCAGAAAAGTTATTTGTTTGGTGTCCATTGATAGTTGCATCCCTCCAAGCAAGACACCATTTTGATCGGAATTCCCAGTATGTGCTAATATATTTATTCCAATTTTCATAGTTTGAACTTATTGTATTTAAATATGCTTGTTCAGCTTTTTCAATAGTATCAGCATACAGGGTCTTTTGGAAAGTCTGCATAAGATTTTTTCTACTTTCTTTTGGTATACTATTTTTAGCTTCCCATAACCAGCGCCAAACTGCTTGAAGTACATGGAATATGCACAATAAATGTCTGCTATTTGGCCAACTATTATGAAGAGCATTAATTTCTGCAGAAGAATTATCTGTCATAAAAATTTGAGGATATCCACAAGTACCAAAACTTTTATTTTTTGGAAGAGCTTCCTTTAATAAACTAAAGCCAGCATTATATGCATCATAACTTTGACCTATAAAAAATCAATAATTTTTTAACTGAATAGGTTAGTATTCATTGAGGCTATACAAATTTGTTTAAAAATGTAATTAGATATTTCATTAATATAATTTGTATCATAATTTATTTAACCATTGAAATAATTAAACTGATGTTCATTAAAAATGTTTGTAACATTTGTGTAGGTACATATTTAATGACTTCTCAGGAAAAAACAAAACTGAAACTTTTTTACAGTTAGGTACCTATAGTTATTCTACCAATAAATATGATATGTTACATATTATTATATATTTATATTCAAATATTCAATTAATTTCAATCTAAACTTATGTTTGTATCAAATATAAAGTTATATTACCTTGAGTGATTATAATTCCTAATGGTACAGCTCCCGCAGCACAAGGCGCTAATACAAAAGTTATGGTATGATTTTCAGGATCACATGCTGATGTACTATCCACAAATACAATATCATTTGATGTTTTTAATAGATGTGCTCTTTTCATCATTGGTGTCAAAATTACAACAGCAAATGGATTTTGTTTGAAATTAACAATTATACCATCTTTTTCGTATGCAAGTTTTTTTTCAATCAATTTCTACATTAAACAAATTGTATAACGATTATTTATTTATCTACCTATAGTATTTTAGTAATGTATAATTTACCTATGTATCAATTTTAATACATTTATAATTAAAACTTAAAGTCAATTGTTATTTATTATTAATAAATATTTACTTCGATTAATCCAGTACCACTTCGTGGACCTAGATTATTTAACCGCCATGTTTCATACCAATTTTGTATACATCTGTATGTTGGATTTAGTGAACCATTGGCATAATCTTGTTGCTTGAAATCATGCCTCAATGATAGTATATTTTCATGGTACTTAGAAGATTCAATAATCCCCATACCATTATTAAAATACTCAATAAATGTATTCTTCTGATTATTGTCAGCTGGTAAAAATCTTAATGTCTCAGCAGTCTGCAGAGTATGTCTATGATTTGTATGTATTTTTATAGAAGCCAATAAACCTTCCTAATCATAAAAATATGTTAAGACATATGAATGATTATGTTCCGTAAGTACTTCTACATTTTCTTTTAAACAAACAAATAGTAGAAAATAGGTAAATACTTTAAGTATTAAAAAGTGCATGGGTTGTTCTAAGATGGTTCCATCCTAACAGCTATATTTTTTATTAAGATTTTATCATACAGAAATATTAGGAGCAATAAAAATAATAGAAGACAGTATAATTTTAAATTTTATCAAACTTAATTGATTTTAATTAGGTATAACAGCTTTTTTTGTAAATTCTTGTATTTTTTACAAAAAAGGCAATTAATACAAAATCACAATGTTCATTATTTGTGAAATTAAAAGAATAAACTATAAAATTATAATGCTTGAATTTATATTTAAAAAAATGATAAATCAGTATTTAAACTTTTAGGGCCGTTCTTACGACGTCCGGTTAAAGTTAACCGACACTTAACCGGAAGAATTCTGCCGGTTAAAAATATTTTGAAAATTGAGTATATAATATTACTTATAATATTGGTTTTATATGTTGATGTAAATACTAACAGACTTAAAAATATACATAGAGTAGTCATTGTAAATTGTTCCAACAATAAATAGTTCTGAGATTGTTTAACACAAATTTATACATAGATAAATGTAGGTTTTATTTAAACAGAATTTTGTTGCACAAAATATGGTTATAATTTAATAGTTACAGGCGTTACAGCTTTAATATAAATATTTAATAGAAGTATTTGGTGTGATATTTAATACCTAAAGTATATATTTAATTGTTACCTACTTTATGGGAAATGTGTTCAATATGCCAAAGACTAAAAAAATATTACTTAACACATTTTTTAACTCTCCCTAAAAGTATCCTAAAACACTACTGGCCCACTTTTCCCAAAGGTCTGTACTCTGTACAGACTGGTGTACAACCCGCTAGACAAAAATAATGCTGTTATTAATTTAACTCTAAACAAAGTCTTACCTTAACATAACTATCTGTTTTTTTTGTCCATGGCGTACTAAGTTTAATGCTACATAATATATACGCTTGACACATAGCATTTTTTGAGTTTCCCTTCTTATTTTCTTCTTTAGAAACCTTTTGGAAACCACTATGGTGACATACATACTTTTTTCTATGATAAATATTATTTAAATTATAATTTATTATTATTTTTCAAAGTAAAAAATGCATATAGGAAAATAATATAGTATACAGAAATTTGAATAAGTTAATATATTATGTTGTGCAACTATTGTATAATATACCATTGACTACTTGTCTACTTATTTTAATACCTATACTTCATTATGTTGTGTAACTTATAGTTAAAATAATAAAATGGAATGAATTTGAAAATATTTAACTATAGTGTAACAGTAATAGTAATAAATAATGTATTTTTAAAATGTTCTGATATGCATATTACACAAGAAACCAATATAAATGTGTATTAGGTTGTATAGGTAGTGATGTGTAATAAAAGGTAATACCTAAATAGGTTTGCTCATGTCCTGCATCCTGTTATAGTTAACAAGTAACAAAACAATAAAATAACAATGTTTCAATTTTATTGTATCATTGAGATATTATAATATTGTGCGTTCTAATTAGTTACCTACGTAAAAATCTAATTTCATATAAAATTGATGTTGATTACTAATTTATTTACAAATGTTGATAAATTGACTGATATTGGTTGAGTATTTAGTATATTATGTACAGAAGATATTCAGTGTTTTATGAGCATGTTTGAGACAATTTGTGTTGTATAAGAATATATAGTCATTGAGCAATAACCATTGTGACTGGATAAATGCCATAAACATGTATATAATTCTAATTTGAATTCTGTTTCTAATTTATATTTTATAGGACATAAAAGGTACATTATACAATCTTGGACAGTGTTACTTATATAACTATAATTGGTATCATGCATTACTATTACTAATACTACCTACACGTACCTAATACAATTTATAAAATATTTTTCTTAATAATTGTTTCTATTGACTTACGAACACAAAATTTTAGTCCCTGTTGGAATAGAGCTTCTTGCTACCCAATGAGTATTTGTTAAAGTTCCATACTCATTCACCCACTGCTTAATATCATCAACTGAATTTAAATTACTTCGAACTTCTACATAATTTACTTTCTCCTCTTTTACTTTATTAGTAAATGATTGAGGATACATATTTTAAAAATGTAAATTAAAAAAAGGTATAATATAAAGAACCGACAATACTTATTGATAATTTATATTTTATAGAAAGATAATAACAAATACCTACTACAAACATCAATACCTATGCACGATTTGTAGTCAAAATACAAGACACTATTACTCCTTATGTAGTATACCTATATGCTAATTATAAAGATCCAAATATAAAAATCCATTTTTGGCGCGCAATATAATGATAACAAATTATCATATATAATTTTTTTGATTATTATTATTATTATTATTTTAATTGTTTGGAAAAATAGCGGGCAATTTAAATTCGGCCAATCAGGATACCCCGGTTGTGAAACAATGTATAGAATGTTAATATGCAACCCGGCCCTGGGTACAGAACACAATACGCAGAATAGTTGAATAGTTTACCATACACGACTGTCGCAACTCGTAAGTTAACTGCGTATGAAGTCTGGTATCAATGGACAATGATAATTAATAAGAGCGCCAATCGGTTGTTGTTTTTAGAATTTGTATTAATTTTAGATTTTAGAAATAAAACTACGGGATTACGATACTCATTATTATTATTGTTATACACTCACACTAACAAACATACCTACATACAATGTGTACGTCCCCGCATACGTCTAAATATAAATATATTCCAACTATCAATTATTAGAAAAAATGTATCATTGTGACTATAATAATTTCTGAGTACATAGGTAGTATAATATTATCTGAAAATATAATAAAATAGACATGTTTTTGCGCTGATAAAAATAATAATGGTAAAACGGCAAAAACTGGGCACCGGCCCTTCGGGCCCCTTTTAAAATCAGTCAGGGGCAAATGCCCACCTTGCCCCCCCCCCCAAATGACGCCACTGAAATACGCTACTATGAAACCGTTTTTCATTTCAATTAATACAATTAAACAATATCGAGCCCTATTAGGTAAAAGGGCGTAAGCGACTATTTTGGCGAAAATGAGATATTGGTATCAACATTTTTCTAAAATTCTGACTTATCGGTATGTAAAATGGCTAAGCGACAATATATACCTAAGCATGTCATTTTGCCATTTAAAGATTGGGCGAAAGCGACATGTCGTTTAAATAACTTCAACATTTATCGTAATATTAAATTATAATTTAGTTTTCACCCTGTAGATTGTATACAAATATACAATAGATAAGTATTATTAAGTAGTATTGTCAAACTGTAGATTAGCCATATAGTTATATATAGCCATATGGCTATATAGTTATACATGTATAAGGAAATCGAAAATGCAGAGTTGACATATTTTCAATATTGTGTGTATACGGCAGTTAGAAATATTAGTTGTAGTATGATTATAATATAATTCTTATGGCAGTCGAGATATGCGACCCGTCGGTGATATACGTTTCTGAGTGCATTGTATTATATGGTTTATTATTCGGGGTTTGGTAAGTTCCCACACGAAACATAGCAGGTAAGCGAGTACATATGTAAGTTCCCACACGAAAAAAAATACGCCCGTACGTAAGTTCCCACACGGAAAAAATTACAACTGTACGTAAGTTAAGTTATTAAGACTTAGGAATGACAACTTAAACGAAATTTTTTTAGGTATAAAATAATAATAATAATAGAAAAAAATCAAATTTTATTTGGTTTATTTCGAAAGCTCAAACACTTCACATAGTCAAATACTCACATAGTCAATCTGATATTTTATTTTGTTTTTCTTCTTCCACGCATTATTTGTATAGGTATAAAATAAATAATAATAAAAAAAAAATCACATTTTGTTTGATCTAATAACACTTTACAATATAGTGTTTGAGCTATCGCAATAAACCTAATAAAATTTGATTTTTCTATTATTATTTTTATTTTATACATATACAAATATTCTACACATTATATTATTAATTTTTATTATATATTAAACAGACTAGATTCAATTGGACTTTTTTTTATGCAGTACAAAAACAAAACAAATTTTAACCACACCAACTACGTTTAAGTTGTCAGTCCTAAGTCTGAATAAAGTGGGAAGGAAGTTTGTGTTTGGCAAGGCTGAGCATTAACGAATTAAAAGTTAAAATTATAAGCAATGTATATAAACATTATTATGTGTCTGAAATTTCGTGTGGGAACTTACGTACAAGTGTAATTTTTTTCGTGTGGGAACTTACGTATGGATATCCAGAGGTTATTTTTACCTGCTATATCTCGTGTGGGAACTTACATTCGCCCTATTATTCACTGTATTATAAATCTATTTTATTAATTCAACTTAACATTGTTTGGATTACTTAATTTATCGCTTCCTTTCAACACCTGTAAAAAAATGAAAATGTCGCTTACGCTCTTTTACCTGATAGGGCTCGATATATTATATATTAGCTGATCCCGTGCACTTCGTTTCCCGTTAAATGTACCAACTCTATATGACTCAAACTTTGTTCGATTCGTTATTTAATATTCGTTGTATGGAGTTCAAAATTTATCTTGACTTTTCTGTTGCCTGGAATAAAAATTCTGGTTCGCAGCAGAATATTATCAGGTAGGCAATCTACCTGCGGTTTGAACGTAACTTTATAATTTAACTCTAAAGTATCAAAGTTATACAAAGTATGTTATTGAACTCCTCCTAAACGGTTGGGCTAATTGTGAATGCCGAGTCTGTCGACCAATATTATATATTTACTCCTCGTCCAAGTGATTGTTGTATGTACGTAACTTATATGTGAGTATAATATGCTCAATATTTACGAAATTGTGATACATATAATATCAAAATTCAAAACACAGTGTACCTACGAAAAATTAAATACATTTATTGAATACACTGATTTCACGGCGACCAATAACTATTATTATAATAATATATAGCTTTAAAACCCATGGCAACCATTTATAAACAAACATTTCCACCTTAAATCTCTAAATCCCCGTTTGAGCACATCCCCTGATTGGACCTAGGGGGATGATTTGTAGCCTATGTTTTACTCTGATGTATAATCTAAATTATTGTAGAATGTCATTAAAATCCATTCAGTAGTTTTTACGTGAAAGAGTAACAGAGAAACAAACTTTCGCGTTTATAATATTAGTAGGATTAAAATAATAGTCTACAAATTTAAACGTATTAACTATTAATTATTACATTCTGTTACTTTTTCTTATGTTCACTTCCTGTGATTCCATATAATATCCCTGGTTCAATTCCTAAACATTTATCTATCATATTCTTATCCACATTATTTTCAGTAAAGTAAGAATTCTCTGTGTCCGGATAAGGAGTTATTATAGTATTACACTATTACTATTCACTGTTTCAATGACTACTAATTTAGAATTTGGTTTATCTAACTATTATTCTAACCTAGCAATAATTTGAAGAGGACGTCGCACAAGCATATTATATCATATGTAGTATCTGTCTTACTCACGTACGGCATATTAGCAAAGAACCGAGAAGGCTACAGTCATATAACAAGAAATTAAATTTTCACCACTTAAAAAAGAAGAACTTTGGCTGTGCAATATCGTTTTTTTGATCCCGGAACTTCAAAAAAAGTTACTAAAGTTTGAAAAACACAAATAATAATGGATTTTGAAACAATAATAACTTTTTTCGTATAAGTGATATCAAAAAAATTAAAACGATATTGCACAGCCAAAGTTCTCCTTTTATGTGGTGAACATTTTTTTTCTTAGCTATGACTTATGACTGTAGCTATCTCAGTCTTTTCCCGCTCAAAACAGTTTTTGCCATGTTGTACATTAATTGTAAGACGGAGACAACACATGCGGGTGCGACGTCCAAACTATGTCTCCTCTACACTTAATTAAATAAGGCACTGGTGATGGGCGCTCACGAATTACCTCCCATCTGACCCTCAAAATGCCTCGCATGATTTTTTTTTTTTTAAGGTTACCCAAATATCCTCCCGATTTCAAAAATATTATTCACTCGAATTGCCTCCTGATAGGGTCACTACCTAATCTTGTATTGGAATCACTTGCGATAGCTATAATTAATCGATTTATAACAAAATATACCAAACATAATTTAGATGAAATATCATTCTGCAGTTATACAGTCAAAAACCTAAGTTTGTAAACAAATGTATTAAATGTTTTAATAAATACATATTATACTGACACAGCAGTAATAATTAATAATATTAAAAATAATAATGACGAAACATCATTCTGTTATACAATCATCATTCATCAGTAATCATAAACTGATAATCATTAATTGCGGATAAGATTATTGCATTCGAAAAATTAATTGGTCTGGGAAATACTGTAGGTATGTCTTACACATATTTATATTTTTGAACATTACCGAATAACATAATAATCGATAGTACACGCACAACTATCGATATATTAATTAATTAATAATAATCCAGGTATGTTATGGGAGGCAATTCAAGTAGACTGTTTTGGTATACTCGAATTGCCTCCGAAAACACCCGGAGGCAATTCGAGTAAAAAAAGGTCACCTACCTAAATTATGGAGGCAAATCGAGTGTCACCCTGGAGATAGCTTTCGCATAATTAACCCAGGTATCCATTTACAACTATGATCGCCATGATTTCTACACATCACCTTATCATTAAATTCATACTATTTAACTCTACTTCCAATAATCTAATTTTGCTCTCTCCAAACATTTATTATACTTTTCCTTTGCTAAAGCTATACTTAAATAGAATACAAAGGGGTGCCGGCTGCGGGGCCAGTTAGTTGCACATCATCAACTATACGAAATCTCGCAACCTAATTAGTCATTAGGTACCTACCAGAATATAATAAAATTTTTCACCAAACATAAAATTTGATAATCTCTAACTTATATCGTTAGCTTTGTTTCCAAATAACTATAATTATTTGATACTTTTCTGTTATCGGGACGGTATCTTAACGATTTCCATCCACCGCATTCCAGTGCCCTAATGGCATAATTTACGATTACCTACTATTATAATTTATATTATTAGGTTTTGTAAAGTGGTTTTTCCTGTACTTTTGCTATTTAAAAGTAGTTTAATGCACTTTAATTTCGCATTAGTACCTACTACCTAGTAATAATCACACTATTCAGTATTCACACTTCATGAATAAATATGTTTTATTTTTAATTTATTTTATAAATTATAATTAAATATCCAGCTGTAGCCTGTAGGTATTACCCGGTGATAAATAAAACTAAGATGGCAATTTACCTAAGGTGGATAGTAAAGTCATTTTAGATTCTGAGAGGAGCGAGGAAACTAGTGGTTTTACAATGGTGTTTATTATTTTTTGGCAGATTTAATAAAAACAATTAGTTTGTAATTTTTTTCAATTATCATACAATTAGTATTTAGTATTTAATATTGGTTCCGTAACCTATTTGTACGGTTGAATATTAAAAGTATGAAACGCGGACACATATTGTACGGTCGGGTAAAACTGTAGAGACATTGATTAAATATTTTTAATCAATAGTAGATTGTATAACACGGATACTTTATAGTTTAAATTATAAACATTATAATATATTGTATATTATGGTGCGCACCGGTGGTCAGGGCAAGCGAGGTGAGTGCTGCATTACCGCTCAAAAAGGAAGAAATATAAATTACATTATGTCAATAATCAATATTATTATATTAGGTTTTACTATTTTAGGTATAATATTAGGTATTTGTGTGTTGTGTCGTATGCGGTCTACCACGCATGTTTCTACACGTCATATGCGGTCTATAGGTTAATCTAATATCTAATCTAATATTATAGTCATCGGTAATTATACTCCATTATCCATATTAAAATTTTATATAGTGGGTAATATTGGTAAGAAGATTAATAAATTAAGGTATTATGTAATCTAACTGCAATATAATGTATTTACATTTAAAATAATGCGAGCTGGGGTTTCATAAAGTTAATGGTTACCGACAAATGACAAATTATTTTAAATTACAGGAACATAATAATAGTAGGTAGGTACGCCTGGAGCAGTGTTGGGAAGGAACGTGTTCCTTTTATAGGAACGAAGCTTGGAACGCTTTCTATTTAAAACATTGGAACGAGAAACGGGAAAGAGTTCCTATTTTTAAGGAATTTGAACGAAAATTCGAAAAATCGTTCCTCAGATTATAAAAAAATAAATGAAAGTTATTTTTAATAATAACATTTACCAGAATATATTTAGTGTTGGTAATTTGGTATCACTTCGTCGGTCACTAGTAAATATTAAATTACCACATAGTACAATATAGTATAATATACCCTGATCCCAACATTTCCATTTTTATCACGAACAACCTATAGGTATCGAAGTATCGTTGGTATATTTTAATTTAGTACGAGATTTGCATACAAGATGATACGAGATTTGTATAATATGATAATATAAGCCACGGTTGTATAACTATAAAAAGACACAAGTTAAGTGATTACTTGTTTGAAAAAAAAGTTCTTCTCAAACAAAAACAAATAATGGGTTTTCATATACATATATTATAAATAAAAATAATAAATAAATATTTTGGCTTTTGAGTAAATTGATGAATTGTTTTTTACATTAATTTCCATTTTTAGAATATAAAATAAATTTAATTAAAAAAAAAAAGGTGCTCTGCTGTACAGTAGGTTACAAATGGGTCACTGTATAATAAATTGTATTAAATTTGAATTGAATGATATAATATCATTGTATAAGAAAAACGACTGAGCGGGGACTGTATGTCTAGGTATAAGACATATTACATACTTATCTATGGTATTAAAAAAAATTTACCTATAATAAATTCCAAATTAATCATATCACAATATCCATTAGGTACTTATAACGCTTAATACATCAACAACAAACCCTGATACTATCATAGATATATAATAGAGTACTTTAGAAGTTTCAAGTAACCACGAATAATATTATACAATCACAACAAAATAAGTAAAATAGTTATTCTAGGTTTTTTACTATGTAATTTCATACAAATTTGAATTTAAAATGACTATAAAAACAAACTGTGCTTATGTATTTTTTAGACTTTTTGGTAACAGAATTACCTACTTACGTGGAATTTTGTTTTACATTTTCAATCCTTAGATATAAAAGTTGAACATTTTATAAATTTTTAACTAAAAAATAATTATTCAATTTTAAATTCGATAAATTTTGTCAAAATTTGATTCTTAAATGCTTATAAAAAAAAATTGTGCCCATGTATTTTTAATATTTTTCAATTGCTATTGTCACAATAAATCAAGAGCCTTGTATTAAATTTTTACACTTTTTGGCCCAACAGATAAAACTTTATTGATATTTATAGAAAAAAAACTAAAAAAATTGAAAACTGAAAATGTCCGTAAACAGCTCAAAAAGAGTCAAAATATTTTCAAAATTGTACAGTGTATAGGAAATGCTAATATGAACATTCAGTGAAATTCTCATGTATCTACAGTTATTCGTTTTTGAATTACAACAAAATAAGGAAATCGCTACATGAAAAATCGAGTGAACATCCAATGTTGTAAAAATTTGAATTTCAAAGGCTCATAAAAATTTAATTTGACTTTCCGGTAGAGATTTTTTTAATGATAAAGGTAGACAAACATATGAGTAGTCTTGTATTACATTTTCAAATCTTAGATTTAAAAAGAAAAATTTTTACGAATTCTTAACTCAAAATAATTCGCTAATTTTCGTGATTTTTCCATATTTTGAACTTTAAATGTTTATAAAAAAAATTGTGACTAAGGATTTTTAATATTTTTCATCTGCCTTTGAAACAATATATTAGGAGGCTTCTATTAAATTTTCAAGCTTTCGAAACCAACAAATAAAATTTTATTGATATTTGGACACCCTGTACATTGTATACACTCAGACACTCTACATGTTTATGTATAATATACAATATATACCTTGTACCTATATTATAATATATTTATATTGAGTATAGTGTTCATATTATATTGATTATTAAATAATAAAACAATTCTGAGTAAAGGAGTGAGTTTTTAGTCAAAATAATAAACTTCTTACTGGAGAAAGTTTCACCATCATAATTTGAAGAAAATGTCGAGTTCACGCTACAAAATTTTTGAATTCTAACAAATAAACCAAGTCATTTTTGTTAAAAATCGGTGCTCCATAGTAACTCCTGTTTTTCCGCCACTTTCTGTTAGTTTTGAGAGTAAAAATTTAGTTTTATTATAATGAATATAAAAATTAGTTTATTATTTCTGGTTATAAGTTGTCCGCAAAAACCACATGACAACCGCACAGATCGTAAAAAAAAAATGTAAAAGAACAAAAACGCGTTCCTTTTTAGTAACAGAAACAAGGAAAGGAATGAGTTCCTTTTTAAAAAGAACTTTCACAACACTGGCCTGGAGGTCCAAGGCCGTATCCAGAATTTTTTCTGGAAGGGGGGGGGTCGAGACCCCTTCCCATACAGCCTTGCCTGGAGTAGTGAAAGGGTTAAAGTAGTTGCAAGTATTAAAATTGATAATTTTCCGACTGATAAAAGGAAATATTCAATTTTTCCAAAATATTACCAATTTGCTTTGAATACATGCAATACATATTTTGAATTTAAAATGAAAAAATTATTTGTCATTGAAATAATTAATGTTAAGGATATGAGGGGATTGCATTCAGAGACAAATAAAATAAAAACCACAATTGTAAAAAAAACTCAAGTTATTTAATATCATTATTCATTTACTAGTATAACATCTGTCAATTGACAAATAAATGATAATAATAGGAAAAAAATATTGAGAACAGACCAATTAATCGTGTACCTAGCAGGAACATAGTTCTGATTGATATTGTTCCGCTCATTTACATTAAAGCTTAAGTCTAATGGAACGAATATTGTAGAAAAAAAATTAAATTATAATAATATAGTAAAAAAAAATATTAAATACCTCTTGGTTCTTAAGATACAAATTAAAAAAAAAAAAATATATATATATATATATATTATTGTTTGTTGTTTTATCTGTTCACTGCAGTTTAAGCTACAACAGGTTTATACTCCGGCATGGAAGCAATAATATCTTTGTCATCTTCTGACAAATCTCGAGCAAGTAAAAAGGTGTGTGCAGATCCACAAGCCACCTGTTCCACATATAATCCATCAAGTTTCTTCATTTCACATGGTTTAGCACTGGATTTTTTCAATTCTCCAAGACCCTAAATTGATACGTGTTAAAAGTCGTAATTTATAAAAATTTAAAAAAAATTCTTTATTACCAATTCGCCAGAGCTAGTTCCAGAACCCCAAACAATGCAAGAATCATCAGCTGCTGCAACTAACCCAATAGAGCATGTACCAATACTGCGTAAATTCCAACCATGGAGATCTTGTACAGGTTTTGGATACATATTAGCTTCTCCTCGACTACTCATTTGTCCAAATAAATAAACAGCGCCTGTTTTTAATAACAATAATAAAATATTAATAAATAAATATGAAATAAAATGTTCATTATAATTAAAGGCTTATCAACAAAATTATTGTCATCATTAGTAAAAGTTGAAATAACATATTTAAGAATTATAGTCGCACCAAATTCATTAATTGCAATACTGAATGCAGGTCCACAGGCAATATGCTTCACACCACTTCTTTGAACATCAAAGTATTTGATAAGTCTCGGTTGTAATTCATCTTTCGGTTCAGAATGTCCAAGCCGTCCATAACCTCCAAATCCCCAAGAATATGCTTTTTTATGATCATCAATAGCTACCTAAAAAAAATGAATAATTCAAATTATGAAAAACGATCAAGACGATTTTTGTTTTGTTTATCTTACTGTATGATTTGTTCCACATGCAAAATCTCTGATTTCAGGTTTAGGCAAAATTTCTACTTTGTTCTTTGTTTTTTCGACAAAAGTAATTATAGGCTTGGGTAGTTTGACTGTAGCGAAGTTAATAGCACCAGCTCTCTCAATATACTCTCCGTTAGTGTTATGTCCCAATTGCCCATACTCAGGCAAACCAAAAGAATATAAAGTGCCTTTGCAGTCAAGTAAAATGCTGAACTCAGCACCACAACCAACTTTTACAATTGGTGGTCCATTATATTTAACCTATAAATTAAATACATTTTTTTATTTGCAAATTTCCAATATTTTTAAGGTTAAAAAACTCTACAGGTCCAATGGATGATAAAAACGTTAATGCACAGTTCATACAAAATTTGATAATTATATTAATAATTTCAATACAGAATATGAATTCAAATTAACTGATAGATAATAGATTATAAGCTATAAAATATGTTTATTAATCAATAATAGAATAATGAATTCAATACACATTCATATTTTAAGTTAGCATTTTTCATCCAACTAAAAATTATTTGTTGTTATTGTATTACATAATTTGTTATTTGTACGCAGTATATTAGAAATATTATATTCAACTAAGTTAATAAATGATTCATATACTATTTATCTATTTAAATATAAAATAGACAGGTAATATTAATAGTAATAATAATAATAATAATAATTTAGGTCATTACATAAGCTGTTACGTGGTCAGAGCAGGATTTAGGGGGGTACACAGGCCCTCTACAAAATAATTATCTTTTGCAGTAAGTTTGTCAACCTTATATGGGCCCCCACAACTCTAAATTTGGCCCTGTAGGTGGTACACAACACGACAACTGATATCATATCTTATTGAATGGAGTATAACCATTGTTTAAAATAAAAGTGTTTTAATATTATAATTATATAATATTATGTTTTGAAATTCTTATTTCTTATAAACAAATGAATGGTACCTTCTATAATGATTACCATTTTTTATTTTTATCAGACAATAAATGATATATTAAAATTAAAATAATTATTTAGAAATTATTAAGGCTTCATGACCTCTTTATTATTTTAAATTATTTATAAATTGTTCATTAGTGTTTTCAGTGTAGAAAACCTATTAATAATCTTTAAAATGTTTGCAGTTGTTGTGCTTGATAAAAACAGATAACATTTCGTAGAGAGCTAAAAGTTATATATAATATATATTTAAATTTAACTAGTGATTAAATAAAAAATAGATCTAAAGATTTTTTACTAATTTCTAAGTACCTATAGAAACTCATTTTTTTGTTGTAATATTACATAACTAGACTTACAGAACAATGACATATAAATAGCATTTTTTATTCTAACTAATTTAAGCTAAAATTTTAAATGATTTGTTTTAAAATAAGAATATTAAATTTATTATCATAGCTATAGGCAAAACATATTAACGAAACGCGCTCAGGTAAAAACAATTTGTACCTTCTGATTTGGGATATATAGATATAGTTTTATATTGGTAATTTTACTTTTTATAATAAATTAATTTAGGTATTGAAACTTTATACGGCGATATAGCTAACTATATATGTCGGTAAGTACAATTTATACTAATATTATCAAATATATTCAAATACACTTCACTTAAAACAAATTGTACATGAAATGTCAGGAAAATACATTCAAGCTGATAATAGTATCTAGACTTCACATAGGGGGAACCCGCCAAACCATCATTACGACAGTCAACAGTGGTGTTAATTTGTTTTGCCAATACTATAATATATTACTAACCCTCATTGCTGTTGTAACAAAGGGTTCTTTGCTCTTCACGCCACATTGACTATTCTTATTATCACCGCAACTGTAAACCGCACCACGATCTTAAACATATAATTCAATCTTCAAACACAATAAATTTTCTAGAGAACAAATTAACCAAATAAGAATTTATTTTCTTGGCTAAAATGTAAACTAGCATATTTTGTAATATTGCATTTATGTACTACAAATAGTACTTTTACATAAGTGCGTAGGTTAAGTTATTAGGTATTTTAAGGCAGTCTGAGAATAATTATAAACATACCAGTGAGAAGTAATGTATGTCCACGGCCAGTAGCAGCATTGACAATAGCATGGTCAGGCAAGCCTTCAATTGGAGTTGGAATGTCGCGTCTGAGTAAATCTTTGACTCCCAGTTGACCCTTCTCATTTCGTCCTATAAGTGTAAATTAAAAATATAAGTAACTAATAAGTTATTATTGAATAAAAAAATTTACTACAAACCTAAAGACAAAGCTTTGCCTTCTTCAGTTATAAAGATAGTGTGTGAAGAATTGCAGCTACTCACTACCAAACGAATACGGTTATCTTTCAGTGGCCCAAATAAGTGTGGTTCATACAAGTTTCGCCCAACAGACTTACATCCTTTTGGCATTGACTTGCGGCCATTTAAATCCCAATTAGTTCCACCAGTTAAAAGCACAACACCTATGTGATCCGGGCCTTTCACTCTCTATAACACATAATTTTATAATTTTGGTAAAATATACAAATTACTCTTTTACTAGGTATATACTTTTTAATGTATAGATTGACATTCTGACGTATAGAAATAATTTGTCTCCAATTATTACTATAATAGATAGGTACTTATTTATTTTAAATATCTAAGACTACACTTAATATTATAACTTATAAGGAATATTGGGAAAAAATTACAAAACTACTTTACTGTGTGCCTTTTTTTTTCTCTACATTTTATATTAACGAATCAAGAACGATACACTCATTGTGGTTAAATTAACCATAGTATAGTAAGCCGTTTAATTAGGTAGGTAACCAAATGTACAGTCTTAATCCTGATATAGGCAATAACTAACAAATATTTAGTTTGGAGATAGGGAATGTTTAATGTCACATAGGTGACCTAATACAAAACCGTAGTTAGCTGAAAGCAGTGTACTGATGGTCAATGCGTGTAACTAACGAGTTATCAAATACTTTACACTGTAAACCGTACATGAAGAAAAATGAAATTAAAACTTACAAATGTACAATCGATACCTTGTGTACACTGCAACATGGGCGTAACAGAGAAAAGGTTGTTTGCAACCCGACCGGGCAGAGTAGAAATCTACGGGCAAGTGAACGGCACTTCCGACGGTGGAGCTGAACAGCTGCGAAAAACGCATTTTTCAGCTACTACCACGATGCCGGGTATGCATAAATGCTTAACGCTAACCACTTTACGACTTACCAGAGAAGCGTTGTCTTCGGCCAGTTCGTCCACGTCGTCGTCGTCGGACCTCCGGTCGTCATCGTCTTCTTCTTCACTCAACGTGGGTGGGTCGTCTTCGACGATCTTGGACTTTTTGCGTGACACGCCGTTCGCCTTGCCTTTGGACTGCCGTTTGGCGGACATAACGCCAACACGTATGACAACAACTTCGAGGTGGATATGTAGAGCGTGTAAGCGGTTGGCTGGTGGGCACTTCGAACGGGCTCTTCCGTTGGCAGCGGTGGTCGGCGTAAGGGATGATAAACGAAAAGTGCTCACAAGTCGATGGCGGTGGCGCGAAAATTCGGGTGGCGTGCACAAAACACTGTAGTTAACACAACGCAACGGGGGAGAAGATCGGGTCAAACAGCGGCGGCTCTGATGATAGTAGCGGCGGACGCCATTAAAAGTAAAAAAAAAAGAAAAAATCGAGAGAGAGAGAGTATGAGTGGGTGAGAGGTGGCAACGAGTGGCTGAGAGAGAGCGAGTGAGAGAACGACGGACCGTTCCACCGATGGCTGACGGGGGGGAGGGGAGCAAGTGAGACGGAACGGGACGCTCCACGCGTGCGCGCGCGCGCTAGTCGGACTGAAAGAAAGAGAACTGGGACTTGGAGCAAGCGAGATGGTCGGTCGGAGAGAAAAGGAAAAAAAATAAAGAAAGAAAAGAGTGCGGCGATTGTTTGTTGTGTACACAGAGTGTGCGTGCGTAAAAATCGGGGACCGTGTCGGTGGTGCGGCTGCAGCTGCCGCGGCATTAATACCCCTCCCCCCTTCCCCTCTCCAAATGTAAATCCTACCACCCGGCCAACAACATTTTCAGTGCTGCGTTCGGCATACCGTTTCGCGGCGCGTCGTCTACTCATCTCTTTCGTGATCGGGTGGCCGGGGGGGGGGGGGGGTCAATCGGGCTGCGAGTCGGCGACGCTGATAATTCACGAGCTCGCGACGTGGCCGCTACCCGCTTGTTGGCTCGGAGGGATCGCTAATTTGAATTATGAAAAAGCCTTTTTTCCGTTGTTTGTTTACAAAAAAAAGGCAGGAGACGTAGCAGTTGGTTTATCTACCGCTCTGTAAAATACTGTTATTTAATTAATATTACCAAAACATTATTATAATATATTTTATAATGCCGTCTGATGAAATAGAGGACCTGGGCAAATTACAATTTTAAATAATTATAAAATTATGTATACTGATTAGTAGGTACAAATTGAGAACGTTCTATAAAACATGTAAACGTACGGTGGCGCCACTAGCCCAAATCCTTTTTTTTTTTCTTATGAGGGGGTGGGAAGATATGAAGCCTCTGGGCTCTTGCTATACATTTCCCTAAAAAGTAACCAGATGGACCTTCGCCCCCCACCTTTCATTGCCTATTTTTATCATAAAATATTATAAAATAAAAAGATAAAGATAAAAATTAAATACGTAATAATTATTCGTAATGTACCAAATTTGACATGGCAATTACAACAATTACAAAAACTAATAATATTCGTTATGATAGATGTATAATAAATATAATCGCAGCTTATGGATATCATTCAGCTATAAATTATAATATCATCTAAGATAGGTAGTGGCGATAACGGAGGTAGTCTTGAGTGGTATTCACGATAATAGCCGTAGTCTCCTAGTACCTATAATTTTGGTAGTCTTAGATAACAGGATTGTGTTGATGTCAAAAAACAGGGAATTCTCGTATAACAGGAAAGTAGGTACCCATTATAAATAACAAAATAAATATTATTTATCTTTATTGTTTAATTTTGGATTCTGAGCGGAGCAATGGATGTATTGATTTTACAATGATGTGTTTTTTTTGTGCCTGTCATCAACTTTTGAAACAGTGGTTTTCTCTAGGATTTTCTCATGGAGAGGGATATAAAATATTTTCGTACATAATATATTAATATGTATATATATGTACATAAGCTTTATTCTATACTAAATTCTCAAAACTAGTTTTAATTTTCTTGATGACTGTGCCATTGCATCAATGACTTCTTCGGGTTTTACTTGCATTGTCCTATGAACAGACAACAATGCCAATCGAAAAATCAAGGAAAAAGTAAGCTAGAAACATAACTATATCAGATTGAAAAATAAAATAAAAAAGGTGGGCAAGTGGATGTCGCTCTGCTGTACAGTAAATTACAAGTGGGTCACTGTATAATGGATGGTATTAAATTTGGATTCAATGATATAATATCATTGTATAAGGAAAACGATTCGGAGACGGTATGTCAGTCTAGGTATAAGACATATTATACACTTACCTATGGTATTAAAAAAAAAATAGACCTATAATAGGTCCCTATAATAAATTCCGAATTAATCATATCACAATATATCAATATCCATTAGGTACTTATAACGCGTTATACATCAACAACAAACCCTGATACTATCATGGATATATAATAGTACACTTTAGAAGTTTCAAGTACCCACGAATTATATTATACAATCACAACAATATAACTAAAGTAGTTATTCTAGGTTTTTTAATATATAATTTCGTCCAAATTTGAACTTAAAATGACTATACAAATAAACTGTGTCTATGTATTTTTTAGATTTTTTGGTAACAAAATTAACTACTTACGTGGAATCTTGTTTTACATTTTCAATCTTTAGGTATAAAAGTTGAACATTTTATAAATTTTTAAGTACAAAATAATTATTCAATTTTAAATTTGATAAATTTTTTTCAAAATTCGATCTTTAAATGTTTATAAAAAAAAATTGTGCCTATGTATTTTTAATATTTTTCAACTGATATTGTAACAATATATCAGGTGTTTTGTATTAAATTTTTACACTTTTTGGCCTAACAGATAAAACTTAATTGATGTTTATGGAAAAAAAAAACAAAAAAATTTAAAACTGAAAATGTCCGTAAACAGCTCAAAAAGAGTCAAAATATTTTCAAAATTGTACAGTGTATAGAAAATGCTAATATGAACATTCAGTGAAATTTTCATGTATCTACATTCTACAGTTATTCGTTTTTGAATTACAACAAAATAAGGAAATCGCTATATTAGATATCGAGCTCATAAAAATTTAATTTTACTTTCTTATAGACATTTTTGTTTTCATAAAGGTAGATAATCTTATAAGGAATCTTGTATTACATTTTAAAATCTTAGATTTAAAAAGAAACATTTTTACGAATTCTTAACTCAAAATAATTTGCTAATTTTCGTGATTTTTCCATATTTTGTCAATTTTTGAACTTTAAATTCTTATAAAAAAAATTATGTCTAAAGATTTTTAATATTTTTCTTCTTCCTATGAAACAAAATACTAGGAGCCTTCTATTAAATTTTCAAGCTTTCGCAACCAACGAATAAAATTTTATTGATATTTTTAGAAAAAAAACTAAAAACAAATGGAAAATGAAAATGTACCTAACCAGTTCAAAATAAATCAAAATATTTTGAAAATATTATCGTGTATAGAAAATGCAAATATAAACAACCAGTGAAAATTGCATGTATATACGTTCATTTGTTTTAAAGTTACACCAAAAACCAAAATCGATTTTTTGGAAAACTGATTTTGCGTAAAAATTCCCGTTTTTCCTTAATTTTTATGTTGTTTTTCCCGGCGCTTGTGAAAACTACTAGGAAATTTTTACATAATATTACAGATAAACATAACGTGACGTATAATAATTATTGTAAATAATAGTGGTAGGTAGCGCAAGCCTGCAGTACTGATACATACATTTATAACAAATTAGATGCCATAGACTGAAAACATCAAGTTAACCACGTTCAGTTGGCTATTTATAGTATCTGGTATCATTAACATTGGGATTTTCAAACTCCCTCACCATTGCACCTATTCCTCTTATTATTACTGACGCACTGATAATAATTTAGTATTTACTGCTTATTTTTCCGAAATAGACATTAGATATTTTTCTAGTTCAGACAGTATAATAATATTAGTATATTCACTATATATTATTCTAATAACCTTGATTCTAGTCAATATCACCATCACAAATCACAATCGTCAATCGTATACAAATTATTAGTTGGCCATTATGTACAGTTATTGAGTTTTTCATAAATGTAAAATGGCCAACTCAAAAGTTAAGAAACCAATTATTGGGGGGGGGGTATTATGACCCCCACCACTAGGTTCGCCCCTGGTTAAGACGTTGTTTGTTTGTAGAAACCTTGTTAAATTAATAAACGATTCTAAGCAAAGTCTGTTCATTATGTAACGATTCTTATTTCGTAAAAATTTTAACTTTAAATTCTTATCATAAAATCTTGACTAAGTATTTTCAATATTTTCAAATTTTGTATGAATATCTTACGAGAAACCTTGTAATAAATTGTCAAGCTTTTTACACCCTAAACAACATTTTTATCATATAGTTTTAACATGTATATAGTAAATGCTTAATATGAATCCTTGGAAAATATATGAAGTCTCTACAGTTATTTATTTTTGAATTATAACACAAATAAACAGTTATGAATTTTGATTTTGTCATAATGTTTTGTTATTGTTTTTCCCAATTATTTGGAAATAACTGATTGTTTTACCAGAAGCCCCCTTCGAAGTGATATATCGAAGCATCTTTTTGCTATAAAAGTGAATATTTTTGGTGTATTGGGGAGATCAAATTTTTAAAACTCCCGGTAATTTTCAAAAGCACCAAGAAAAACAAAATAAAAATTAAAGAAAAACGAGAATTTTTACGCAAAATCGCTTTTGGTGTAACTTTAAAACAAATAATCATGTAGATACATGAAATTTCCACTGGTTGTTTATATTTGCATTTTCAATACACTATAATATTTTGACTTGTTTTGAGCTGTTTACGGACAATTTCATATTTCCATTTTTTCATTTTTTTTCCCATAATTATCAATAAAGTGTTATTTGTTGGGCCAAAAAGTACAAACATTTAATACAAGGCTCCTACTATATATCGTTACATTGACATTTGAAAAATATTAAAAATCTTTAGTCACAGTTTTATTATAATCATTTGAAGTTCAAATCTTGACAAAATATGGAAAAATTACGAATATTATCAAATTATTTGAAGATAAGGATTCATAAAAATTTTTCTCTTTAAATCTAACATATGAAAATGTAATACATGATTCCTTATAAGTTTTTCTACTTTATTCAAAAAAAAAATGTCCTTAAGAAAGTCAAACTAAATTTTTATGATCGTTTGAAATTCAAATTTTTACAACATTGGATATTCACTCGATTTCTCATATAGCAATTTCCTTATTTTGTTGTAATTCCAAAACGAATAACCGTAGATACATGAAAATTACACTGAATATTTATTTTATCGATTCTTATACGTGATATAATTTTAAAAATATTTTGACTTGTTTTGAGCTGTTTACGGACATTTTCAGTTTTAAATTTTTTTAGTTTTTATTTCTATAAATATCAATAAGGTTTTGTCTGTTGTGCCAAAAGTGTAAAAATTTAATACAAGGCTCCTGATATATTTCTAAAATATCAATTGAAAAATATTACGAAGACAGATCTTGGATACGCTATGCTACATCATATTCCACACAACATAATATCGAAACATTGTATATGTCTGTTGACTAATTTTTATTGGCCTTTAGCAAATTCAGACCAAAGAAAAAATTGTTCGTATTTTAAGGAACTTAACATACAGCAATACGCCACTACAGAATATAGATTCCCTCTGTCAAACGTCTACAATAGTAAGGAGATAAGACATGTTTGCAAATTATATTTTTGCTTAAAAAACCAAAAGCCAGTGTCATAAATATAAACGTCAATTTATACCCATTAAAAAAGATAAAATATTATGCGGGTTAGCATGCTTGATAAATCACTTTGTGTGCTCCAGTATTTAATTATTTTGCAGTTTTATTTACTCGCAAAATTCGAATTGATATTTATTTCTCACCTAGTCCATACATAGTAACCAACATATTCAAACATGTATAGTTGCCATGTCAGCATTATATACTGTTAAATAACATAATTTTGTGGTTCACTTCATAATTTAGTGTCAGAGATATCGCTTACAGTTATTGTTACAATTTATAACTTGTACGTTCGTCTCTTAAAAGTTAAAACAATTAATATGTCTTCAGATAATACTTCGAACCAGTCTGAAGTGTTGGATTATGTCTGTAAAACAAGCCGTGAAAAAGATTGCAGTGGTGCCATGGACCCGGTGTTGGCAGGAAAAAACGCCAAACGTCGACGCCTCGCCGCTTACATAATGAAGCCTACACAGATTTCTTTAAGTCGGTCCGCCGAGGATTTGAATCATGGTTTCTCAAGCCGGGCTCGATTTTACGGTGCGATGGTGGCTAAGCGGCTAAAAGGAATTTATTTTGCAAACATTGCTGCAGCGACACCCGACTTAAATGAACAGACAAATTTGGTGGACCAGATCACGGAATTCATATTCCAGCGGCTGGTAAGGGCTTTAGAAAATGACATAAAAAATACGGTTAAACGTCGTCGCCCTGCTTACATAATGCAGCCTACGCAAATTTCTTTAAGTCAACCCGAAGTGGATTTGGACCATATATTCTCAAGCCGGGCCCAGTTTTACGGTGCGATGGCCGATGGCTAAGCGGCTAAAAGCTCATTATTATGGCAACATTGCTTCGGAAAGAAATGTGCCAATTAATGATTTAGTAGACCAAATACCAGCAGGGTCTACGTTCCGGCGACTGGTCGAAAATTGTGTAAAGGACTTGGCGAGGACCGCCTGTGTACCGGAGTTGCACTTCGCCTGTGCACAAAACTTGCCGGCTCAAGTTTCGACGGTCGAAATAGTCGACCCGGTAACTATTATCGAAAATGATCAGGACGTGGCGTCTGGTAAAACGACAGAGTCCGGCATCCAAGTCCACGAGCAGGTGCCACCAGCGGCTAGCGTAAGAAATAAAGGTAAAACGTAGGCGAACTCTTTGGTCCCGCGCCAAAAAATTGTTTTCGCGTATGATATGCTGTAGCTGTACTACAGCAGATTAGAAAGTATTGTAAATCGTAAATTTCCTTAAATATTATATCACCTATATATTATGTTTATGTATTATTCCTACATAAAATACCAAGCCTTTCAACCCCTAATATATAAATTTTGACTACATAAACATAATACATAGGTAGGTAGGTACCTAATCTAATTTCTATACAAGTTTATAATTTACATTTAGGTAAATTATTAAATAACACTTAAAATAGAAACCGATATTAAATTAATTATTCAACATAAACATACTTCATTTGTAATTGATGCAATTTCGTGTAGGTATAATACATACATATACATAATAGATAGGTAATATAATTTTTATACAAATTTACATAATTAATAATACATAAAATAGGAACCGATTTTAAATTTATTATTCAACATAAAAATATATTATTTGTAATTAACCATTACAAAGATCGATTATTGTGAGTTGCATAATTAAATTAAGTGATATGTATTTTTATAACTTGCACCACTATTTAGTGTTTGATTTGATTTTCCCTCGAAAACAATTATTTCTCATCACTCTTTATTCAAAGCACCTAATGTCCCAGATTTAGAAAATTTGGACGAATTTTAAGGTAATTAATTTTAAGAATATACATTAGAAAAAATATAGTTCCGTTTCAATTAGTTGTTTATCTATCAGCAAATGTTATAAACATATAATTTAGTTTTACGATTTAAAACTTTCATCAATAGGCATATATGAATAAAATCGTTGTTATGTTTATTATAACGTAGACTCCCAAAGATTTATGCATCATCAATTTATTTTTGTTGCCATTTGTAGGACGTGTGTTGGCCCTCCGACTGAATGCTAAAAACTTCAAACATAAATCAATATTTAGCACGTTATTTGCAAGTAATTGCAAGTCCATTAATACAATTTGTAAGTTAGTAGTTTCGTCAGGAAACAAAAAACATGAAAGTAACTTCACACACGTATTTATAAATTTGGCAATGTTGCAAAATTAATTCATTGATGATCAATGATTCATTAAAAAAAAATATTTATATTTTAATCGTTTTCCCTTAATTTAGTTATTAGATGTAAGGTTCAAAAAAAAAAAAAAATGTTAGTTAAAAATTCAACCCCGAATTTATAATTTTTGACATTCGATCGATAAACGTCACCGGGTGGAATATTTCGACCGCCGAATCTTAAGCCGGCAAGTTTTGTGCACAGGCGAAGAGCAACTCCGGTACACAGGCGGTCCTGGCCAAGTCCTTTACACAATTTGCGACCAGCTGCCGGAACGTAGACCCTGGTATTTGGTCTACCAAATCATTTGGCACATTACTTTCCGTTTTCGCAGAAGCAATGTTGCCATAATAATGAGCTTTTAGCCGCTTAGCGGCCATCGCACCGTAAAACTGGGCACGGCTTGAGAATATATGGTCCAAATCCACTTCTCGTCTACTTAAAGAAATCTGTGAAGGCTGCATTATGTAAGGGCGGCGTCGACGTTTAATCGTTTTTCCGACGACTTCAGTAGACCGTGTTGTATCAACCGTATTTTTTAATTCATATTCACAAGCCCTTACCAGCCGCTGGAATATGGATTCCGTGATCAGGTCCACCATATCTGTCGGTCCATTTAATTCGGCTGTCGCTGCAGCAATGTTTGCAAAATAAAGTCCTTTTAGCCGCTTAGCCACCATCGCACCGTAAAATCGGGCCCGGCTTGAGAAACCATGGTTCAAATCCTCGGCGGACCTACTTAAAGGAAATGTGCGTAGGCTGCATTATGTAAGCGGCGCGGCGTCGACTGACCAATGCCGGCGAAAAACGGTACTGTCAGTTTACCATAATCGAACTCTATATATAAAAACCACACAAAACAGCATTTTGGGCTCAAGAGCCCTCAGAAAATCCTCGGTTATACTATAATAACTATATACAATGCGTAAAACTATTAATATAATATCTATATTGTTTTCACATTTTTTTTTCTTTAGTACAACAAATGGATCGGAGAGTTTCCACAGAACATATAATGCACAGTTTCATAGTTAGTCCACACCCTTCTATTCATTTGGTTATATCAGTTCTGAAGGAAACACAAGAGACTTGCACAAAAATAAAATCAGCATCCAAAGGACGTATCAATGAAACGACAAACAACGTTTATACCACACAATTAACGAATATAAAGAATATTTAATACACAAAAATATAATCTAATATTTGTAACAAGTACCAAGGTATCAAATTATAATTTTACATATTTTTTACATATTTTTACATGTATACATTTTATGTTTTGAATCGACAAATTTTCATTAACTTTTTTATTGACTGTCAAATAAATAACAAATTTAAAATAATTATAATAATTACACTATATTATATTATTTACATTGCAGATAAAATCGTACGGAATCGTGTTGTTTTTGTGGTTAATTTGACAAACCATTGTTTGATCAAATTCGTACGGAATCGTGCTTTACCGCAGGCGAGGGGCAACTCCTGTACACAGGCGGTCCCAGGGGCGGATTGGGGAGAGATTTCGGCCCGGGAAAATACAAAGTATACCGGCCCACTTACCAATTTACCAAATATTTAATTTTAGCCAACATTATAATATTATTATTTATTATGTATTACTATTTTAACATAACTACACGTTTGGTGAGATATGAAATTTATAAAACTTTATTCGTAGTGTATATACATTATACATCGATATCAAATTTATTTTTATTTTTGAACAGTTTATGTTTACACATTTATAATAATCCAAACTCTAAGTACTTATATAACACAGTAAAAGTGAATAATTTAAATTACTAATGTTACGATTTTTGTATTTAATAAGAAAGATTATTACCTATTCAATAATATTTAATAATGCGTTTTTAGACTTAAATAAAAGCTTATAATTTACTTCCACTTAATATACCTGATAGGTAAATTAACAGAATCAACATGCAAAATGTATGTGTATCTTTTTATTTTCTAAAAAAATGTTTTACTGTGGTTTATTCATAATAACATTATGTAGGTACTTAAATTCTAAACAACCAGAAAAATTGTATAGTCTTGTTTTTCTTTAGTATTTTTATGTAATATAATATTGAGTAAAATGTTTTGTCTCCGTCTTAGTACAATCTAACAAATTATACTTCACTATCTGTATTCACCAATCAGCCAAAACGATATAATAATAATATTTAGCTGTAGTACCTAAATAGTAAATATTATAAAAATTATTGTATACCTACGTAATGTTACTTCCCTATTATTCAATAATTTATAAATTCGCCTAAACGATAGGTTAATTTCTCGCCCAAATGATATATTCTTTACTCAAGTTAATTTTGGGTTATTCGCCCAAACGAATGACGCTCAAATTTTTTATACCCGAAGTACGTGTACTACTGTATTAGTATACTGTAATAACTCAAAAATTACGACATAAAACAAAATACGACACCTGTCGATAAATATATTAAAATCGTAAAACTTAGCAATTACCTTCCTCCAGGTGCTCGGAGGGCTCTTGAGATCGTGTTTTCGAGAATTAGATCAAATACACTATACACCACAATTGTATATAAAACATGCACAGATAATATAATAAATGCAATTAATATAAAATATTATATTAATTGCCTTACTTGATCCGCAGTCGTTTGTGAATTATCTTGTAAGGGTTTTAATAGACACAGAGTAACATTTTTTAAATTATAAATCGAAATAATAAACGCACTGATTATTGCTCACATAAGGAGTCCAGAGGGTCGCTCGTTGAAATCGGTTTTTTTAGACTTTTTGGGAGGTTGTTACTTGGTGATGGTGAATGGTGCTCATGCACTTGTTTAAGGGATGACGCGAAGATGCTGACCAGAGAGTGGTAGGCGGCTTTATCAAAAGGTTATCGTGAACTTGGGAATTAGATTATTCTTTGGCGGCTGATACCCTTTTTTTCCTTTCCTTTTCTCTGGCGGCATCATATAATAAAGTCACACACCCTGCGTTTTACCGTTATGAGTGCGTGCCGATATCTTAGTTGTCGTTAATAATGGTTTTATTTGATGTGACCGATTTCTACAAACGACAGTCTGGCCATTATTATTATTAGGTATTCTGTAAGATTTTAGTTTATTATAATGGTGTGTGAGCATATCATTACAATACTGAATTAAAAAGTGTATGAAACAATTTTCGGAAATTTAAACCCTGTCTAGTTTTCGATATTACAGTGCTTACTGCTCAAATCAGGTTGACTTTTTCTATTTTCTACTTCCGCGGGATGTCAAGTAAAGTAGACTTTTTCCGAAGTTTGTCGTTACCTAGAGATCACCCAATGTGGTTTTACATAACATATCAAGGGTTGTTTTCGATTTTAACTGATCTAACTAGTGACCCCGCTATATTACATTTGCTATTTTTGCTTTTCGAGAAATACTATATTTTTGCTTCCTGTCTCTCATCGTTGTGTTAGCAATCCACCGTAGGTAGATTGCCTACCTGATATGCCTACTATTACATACTGTCCGCAATCCAATTCGTATTATCTTATTTTGAAAAATCGGAAAAAAATGCAAATTTACTGGGCTGGTACCTAATAGGAATTTAAGAATACATAGTTATTTGAAAAAGCGGCCCACCGGGAAAACTCCCGAATTCCCGGTGGCCCAATCCGCCCCTGGGCGGTCCTCGCCAAGAGTCCTTTAGCGACCAGCCGCCGGAACGTAGACTCTGATATTTGGTCTACCAAATCATTTGGTAATTGGCTTTCCGCTATCGCGGAAAAAAATTAGATTACCTATGTTTTATGTATATATGTATGTATTATACCTACACAAAATTGCTTTGATTACAAATAATATATGCTTATGTTGAATAATTCAATATCGGTTTCAATTTTATTTATTATTAATAATCAACACCAAAATACAATTGAAAAAAAATGTGGGCAAGTGACCCAGTCTCTGTGATTTATATGTTAAATTTGAATTCAATGATATAAAGACATTGAATACGAAAAACGGTTCTGACTTTGAGTGACGACGATCTGCCATCTTAAAGACAATAATATTACTAAGTATATTTTATAATATTACGGCTGTTAAGATAAATTATTTTACTATTAGACAATAGCACAGTGCTTAAAATATAGATTAAAGTAGTTTTTTCCAAAATACTTGCATTTAAAAATTTCATTGTGTGTATACAGCAAATAATTTTATATATACATTAATAGTTTCAAGTAGGTACCCACAGTAAAATGTTTAAATTATAACAAAATAACTGAAATCATTATTCGTCATTTAAATATCTAATTCTGTCAACATTTTAACTACACTTATGAAAAAAATTGTGCATACATAATACATATCTTTAATGTTTTTATTCTATTATTAAAATAGCTTCTTATGTAAACTACCTTGTATTCCATTTTTAAATCTTAGATATAAACAAAAAATATTTTATTAATATCTAACTCATAATAGCTTGCACGTTTTTATAATTTTGACGAATTTCGTCACTCATAATATAGAAAATATAATATATATAGTTAAAATGTGACAATGAGTAAAAGGAAACTAAGAAAAAAGGGGCGCCAAAATGTGTGTATCCAGGGTGCCAAAATCTTAAATACGCCATTGGACGCCAGCTATGAGCTATATAGGAAAAGTTTAACGATAAAATGATTAATTTTTTAAATAGTTCAACTTTATCTAAGTAAAAAAAAAAAAATTTAACATTTACAAAATGATACAAAAATTGCTTGAGCTCTAACTCGTAACTTCAGACTTGTAATCAAGTATACAATATCATAATATGACAAACACAAGTACACAACTCTTAAATTAAATTATTATAATTTGTGTACTCAATTCACTTTTAACTACGTTAAGTTGCCTATCGATAAAACACAGTAATCTAAAAATAATTATCACAACCTACAATAAATAAATTATAAAACAATTTCGCTTAACAACTACAAATTGGCATTATTTTATACCTAGTGTTTTAAATTGTTTTAAAATGTAAACTTAATGTGTTCTTCACGTTTTTCTTAAAATATTAAATTGGTATAGTTTATTCGTCATCTTCTTCAAGTCTGTGATTCACATACATCATTTGGTTGTTCAATACTGCATTCTGCTCAAGAAAATCATCACGTATATCGACCAAGTCGTTGTACAGTTCATCTAGTGCATGAAATAATAAAAATAATAATTATATAAGTTCTTAACTTTTGTACTATCGAGTGCGTGGGAGCTGATCATTACCGTTGAAAAAACTATGCGATTTTCCTGACCCTCCTACCTCTGCTGGTAATTCATTTCTCGACATGTAATTGAATATATCATCTGAAACGACTGGATGAAGTGTTATCTGCAAATTATCACATGAAGCTATTGTATTAATTAACTTGATAAACCGCTATTAGTAATAAATAATTATACAGTTATGAATTATAAGTTATATCAATATAAAACTATTCGACAATGCACTCAACACGTCAAGTTTGTTCATATTATGCTGTTCTTGCAGTACCTAATTCAAAAAATAATATGTTTAGAAAATTCAAGGTTTTAGTTTTTATCTTTATTTTAGCCTGCACTACTACAGTGAAATAATCGCTATGGTTAGGTAGAATTGTACAAAGATAGAAAAACCTCTAAATATCGGACACTGGGGCGCT